TGTGTGTGTGTGTGTTGTGTGTGTGTGTGTGGTGTGTGTGTGTGTGTGTGGTTGTGTGTGTGTGTGTGTGTGTGTGTTGGGGTGTGTGTGTGTGTGTGTGTGTGTGTGTGTGTGTGTGTAAAGTCTGAAATTCGAGGTTTTGGTATTCATAGTTTCTAAACAGTTTTTTTTTCACTTGAACATGCAAGTGGTATCACACTGGGTACCAAGATTGTGTAAGGCTTGAATGATGCCCAAGAAATACGTCAAGGTGGTGGTGCATGAAAGTCTTAATAAGACTTCCCAGCACTTGTATAGACAATCACTGGCTGAGTGGTTATATAGTACTGAACTGCTAAGGGCGTGGTTACCCTGGCGATTCGGGTTCGAATCCTTGAGGGAGGTGTGAAGGGTTCATAGAGTTTAAAGTTGTTCAATGGCTTGAAAACCATTCAAGCTTAACACACACACACACACACACACACACACACACACACACACACACACACACACACACACACACACACACACACACACAGACACACACATATATATATAGAGAGAGGCTTGTCTCTCCCTTTCACTCCCTCTCTCCCATCTCTCTTTCCGGCTCTTTCCCCTCCCTTCTCTCTCTCCCTTCCTTGCTTCGTCTCCCCCCCCCCTCTTTCGTCCCACATTAAAATAACAAAGAACATTTAAACCCATAATAAAAAATCCTATCTACCCTTCCCTTTCTTTCTCTCTTGCTTCCCTCCTGCCTCTACTATATCTGTTCCTCCTCCCTCTCCTGTTTCCCCTCTTCCTTCTCCTCCTCCTCCACAGCCCTCTCCCGCGGTGGAAAAAGCTCTCCAGCTTTGAATAAACCTGGGAGAGTGTGGGACCTAATGGACTCCCAGGCACACGCCGTGGGAGGCATCATATGCGGGTAATGAATTGAATCGAAGAGTTGTGAATATATCATTTTCTTCCACCATCAATCTCAACTCTGTCGTGTGATTAATCAACTTTCTCTTCTCCCGCCTTAATTTCCTCTAGTATTTACCTGTTTTTTTTTTGTTCCATCTCTATTCCATCCGTTGTGTTGGAATAGAGATTGGAGTAAAGGATTGGAGGATCTGGATCTGTTATCCTGTAAAGGATAGAAAGGCAAAGGGCTCTCTTGCACCTCTCCAGCTAACTCTGTCGGAAGGAATGAGGATTTTTTGTTTTTGTATTTTACAAGGATAGGAAGTATATTTAAGAAAATATTGTCACTATTATAAAGTTATATAATAGCCACTACCACTAGTACCATCTACCACCACCACAAGTACCACCTCGACCACCACAACCACCACCACCACAATCATCCACTACCACTACCACAGTGGGCTTCTTAGCCGCTTAACACCGAGATAATTTTCACTTGCTCTGAGTAGCTTAACTCAATAATATAGAACTAATACGTGAACTACACACACCAATTTAACAATTCGTAACAACTTTAACAACCCTGATTATTCTTTCAAGATAACAACCCTGATTATTCTTTCAAGATCTTTCAATCCACCACGAACAACTCTTTGTAGAGTGGGACTCGGTTGTATAAAACTCTAATCGTTAGGGAATTATAATTTGACTACTGTTGCTGTCCATACTAGGCCTAATACTATCACCACTCAGCCTACTATTGTCCCTAAGCTTACTACTGTCGACTTGAAGCAAGTTCTCACAATCGATTTGAGAATGGTCCAGGACGGACCGAAACGTCGTCGTCCCTTCACCTTCTAGTGTGTGGTTTGGTCAACATACTACTGTCATTATTACTACTGTTGATAGTATTAATACTAGTTATTTTACTAAAATATTGGCATTTAAATTGAGAGCTAATTGTGTTTTTAATTGTCTAAAAATACGGATTTTATTTTTTACTACTGTACACTTATTTCAACACAACCATAATTGTAACGATTTGTAAAGTTGCTACGAATAATACCATCTAATTCTCTAATTCTATTTCTAGTTGTAAGCAAACTCACTACCTCTGTACAGAGATAAGGAGGCCACATTCCTCAGCTCTAGTAGCAAAAGCATCGAGCAAGAACTTGCATCCTAGGCTCGGAGGCAGCCTGTAAACAAATATCTTTATATCTTCTAAATATCTTTATCTTTATAACTGTATCTTCACTATTAATTGGAAGATCTTTAATAAATTTATGCATTTGAACCCCTCAACATTATTTATTGTAATATTAAGTACACAAAATACTATATAATTTAGGTATCCCTCTTTGCCATAACATTGTAAATAGAGAGAGAGTGAAAATACAAATAGAGGGGTAGTGAAAATGCAGATGTAGATACTCAAATTTCTCTGCCTGTGAGTGATGCAAAAGTCGTATATGATGACCCAATATCAGGTTCATATGGGGTCATCCATAGTGCCTCTTCTAGATGTGGATAAACTATGAATATAAGACGCAGGTTCGAATCCTCGTCACGGCCCTTGTGGATTTGTTCGTATGAATATAAGACCACCAGGTTAGCTTTACAGTTTGAATGTAAATAACTTTCATTATATGTTTAAAAATTACATTTAGTGGGGGAAAGGGAATTTATATTTATATTTATTATAAATTTATATTAATTTATATTACATTTATATTAAGCGTAATATAATTGCTCCAAATTATACACAATTGCAGTGCACATAATTAGATGTGTCTGTTAATTCCACATAACCTATCCCTTTAGAATTCCACATTCTAATAAGTTCTTCACTAATCCTATATACACTAATTGCAATTTAATATTACATTCTATGCATATATACGAAGTTAAATCAAAATAAAGGACTCTGTAAGACTCCTAAATGATGAGACTAACCAAGTTATATATGATGATAAAGGGGCAGCAAACACTCTGAATTAATATTTTACATCACTTGAAAGATTGAACGACATCCTATCACCCACACAAATGTTTGAAGGAGGTAAAGAGAATGAAGTCAGGGTTTGAATGAAGAATGAAATAAGATTGAACGACATCCTATCACCCATTACATGCGACACAATCCGGAAGATCATTGACAAACTAAAAGACTCAAAAAGCCCCAGGTGTGGATGGATTTCAAACCAAAGTCGTAAAGAAACTGACAAATGCACTATACATGCCACTGAAACTTCTATTCAGAAAATCCCTGGACCAAGGGATAGTTCTCCTGGATTGGAAATATGCAAATGTTACGCCCATTTAAAAAAAAATGTCGATAAAGGCAGGACCTTAGATATGGGGCACAATTATCCCCGTCACAACTACCAAATTGACAGAACTACCTAACAACAAATAGACGAAGAAAAGGACTTTGTAGTCACAATCCATCATTCACTAAAAGTTGCACAAGTGAGATCAGCATTAAAAAAAAGCGAATAATCAAGCCTGTATCTTCAAGGAAAAGAAATTTGTTGTTCAATTGTATAAGTCTGGTGCGCATTCTGGCATGGAGACGACCTCATCTTCAGAAAGACATATCAGGTATGAAGAAGGTGCAACACCGGTCAACAAAAATCATACCGAAGCTTAGTCATCTCTCGTATCAGGAACATTGAGGGCCGCTGGACTAACACCACTACAAACCAGGCATGTCAGGGCGGATCTCGTCGAGAGGCTCTTTTAGGTGTAAAGAGACACACCTGGGATCTTCAGCACCATCTACATGCACCAACAATAATGTAGAACACTCACACAGTCCAGTTCCTACTCTCATAAGCCTTGTTACAGAGCAGACAGCCGGATGCTGGCCATATCCGAGCTTCCAGCTCTCGTCCGGCATTCCGGCTCTATACGCTCTCACATGTCTGAGAGCATAGAGCGTGTGGTTCCAGAGCCACGGCTCTAAGATCTTAAGAGGCCACACGACCTCTTAAGAACTCCATTAATAGTCATTTTAGGTAGACTTAATTGAACTAAACTAAGTAATTCTGCTTAACTAAAATTTCCACATCTAGGATATAGTCTGGAGTTCAGTCGTCTAGTACTGTAACTCTGGGAGAAAATGAAGAACAATAAGATGGATGAAGAATTTGATTTCTTCTCTCGCAAACGGACTCGACCCAAAATATCCGCTCCAGTTAAACGGAAGAGGCCAGACTACTAACAGGAGAGCGTTAGTACTGAGGGCAGCACCAGCTGTGTCAAGTCTAGCACCAGCTGTGACGAGTCCAGCAGCAGCTTTGTCGAGTCCAACACCAGCTGTGATGTGTCTAGCATCAGCTGTGTCAAGTCCAGCAGCAGCTTTGTCGAGTCCAGCACCAGCTTTGTCAAGTCTAGCACCAGCTGTGACGAGTCCAGCAGCAACTGTGACAAGTCCAGCACCAGCTGTGACAAGTCCAGCACCAGTTGTGACAAGTCCAGCACCAGCTGTGACCAGCCCAGCAACAGCTGTGACCAGCCCAGCACCAGCTGTGACCAGCTCAGCACCAACTCTGACGAGTCCAATAGCAGCTGTGACGAGTCCAGCACCAGCTGTGACGAGTCCAGCACCAGCTGTGACGAGTCCAGCACCAGCTGTGACGAGTCCAGCACCAGCTGTGACCAGCCCAGCACCAGCTGTGACCAGCCCAGCACCAGCCGTGACCAGCCCAGCACCAGCTGTGACCAGCCCAGCACCAGCCGTGACCAGTCCAGCACCAGCCGTGACCAGACCAGCACCAGCCGTGACCAGACCAGCACCAGCCGTGACCAGACCAGCACCAGCCGTGACCAGCCCAGCACCAGCCGTGACCAGTCCAGCACCAGCTGTGACCAGCTCAGCACCGACTATGACTCGCCGACAAAGCGAGTCAGACTGGTAGCTCAGCAGGAAAAGTCTACTCCCTCAGAGGAGGTAGACCAAGTGAAGACTAAGGGCGCAGTTGGGCGGGCTCTCTCCAAGGCTAAGAGAGTGTTAAAGACCGTGAACAAACTTTACAGAGAAGAGAAAAAAGCCCAGGCTAAGGAAGCACGGAGACTGGAAATAGAGAAGGAAAAAGCCAAGGAAGCACGCAGACTGGAAAAAGAAAAGGAAAAAGCCCAGATGAAGGAGGAGCGAAGGTTGATGAAAATATAGGAAAAAGTACAGATAAAGAGAGCACAGAGGCTGCAGAGAGAGTTCTGCAAGGAATGGGTCTTGTGGGTGGGCCCCATCGAATATCCTTATCCCTTCTGTAAGGAGGGCTGAGTTTCTTTCCCTCTCTCTAGTGGTAGTTAATTTTTTCTTAAAAAGCAAAATAAATAAATAAATTAAAAAAAAAAGTGTGTGTGTGTGTGTTATAAATAGAGTCTGATCTAGAGTTCTGATCTCGCTTCAAGCAGGTCGGCGTTCAATCCCCGACCGTCCAAGTGGTTGGGCACCATTCCTATCCACCCCCGTCCCATCCCAAACCCTTATCCTGACCCCTTACCAGTGCTATATAGTCGTAATGGCTTGGCGCTTTTCCCCCCTGATAATTCCCTCCCTGACTGGTGGATAGTGTGTCAGGGTGAGGGATGGATTATTGGTGGATAGAGTGTCAGGGTGAAGGACTCTGAACTGAGTGTAATACCATATATTTCCTCAGTCTCCCATGGTCTTCTTTCATCATCTTTCAGTCTGTCTCCTGCCAATAATTGTTGCACCATTAGCAACAAAATTGATACGGAAGAAGCCAATAAACCTCTTTTGTATGATCACAGCCTTTTTGTCCCGAGTGTCACTTGTGTTTGGGCATCTTAAGGTGTTTCAGACCTCGCTGTCTTTACCCTCAGAGATTTTACCAATGAACAAATCCACAAGGGCCGTGACGAGGATTTGAACCTGCGTCCGAGAGCATCCCAGACGCTGCCTTAATCGACTGAGCTACGACATGGTCAAAATAGATTTTACCAATGTCTCATCCGTCCCGAATCTGCTAGTGCTCTGTTGATCGCTATCTCTCTGTCTCTCATTCATCCTCTTATCTCTTTTTACCCTTCTCTATCTCTATCATGTTCAATCTTTGCCTATCATGCTTATTTGTATCCGTATCTGTCTGTTTCAGTCTGTCTCTCTATCTCTCTCGTTATTAAAGAGATAGAGAGGGAATACTTTTCACAAACTACACCAGGAGAACAAAGCCTATTAAAGCGATTGGGGTGTTTAGTGAGGCAACGTGCGTCGTATATTAATGGTTCCCAAGAGTGCACTGCAGAACTGAAACACCTGAAGGCCATGGCATTTACTGTTTGTTCTTTGCTACCAACTGCCCGCCTGTCTGCCTGCCTGCCTGTCTGCCTGCCTGTCTGCCTGCCTGTCTGCCTGCCTGCCTGCCTGCCTGCCTGCCCGCCTGTCTGCCTGCCTGCCTGTCTGCCTGCCTGTCTGCCTGCCTGCCTGCCTGCCTGTCTGCCTGCCTGCCTGCCTGCCTGCCTGCCTGCCTGCCTGCCTGTCTGCCTGCCTGCCTGCCTGTCTGCCTGCCTGCCTGCCTGCCTGCCTGCCTGCCTGCCTGCCTGCCTGCCTGTCTGCCTGCCTGCCTGCCTGCCTGTCTGCCTGCCTGCCTGCCTGCCTGCCTGCCTGCCTGCTTGCCTGCCTGCCTGCCTGCCTGCCTGCCTGTCTGTCTGCCTACTCTGTCTGCCTGTCTCTCTGCCTGACCGCCTGCCTGCCTGCCTGTCTGCCTGTCTCTCTGCCTGACCGCATGCCTGCCTGCCTGTCTGCCTGCCTGCCTGCCTGCCTGCCTGCCTGCCTGCCTGCCTGCCTGCCTGCCTGCCTGTCTGCCTGCCTGTCTGTCTGCCTGCCTGCCTGCCTGCCTGTCTGCCTGCCTGCCTGCCTGCCTGCCTACCTGTCTGCCTGTCTGCCTGCCTGCCTGCCTGTCTGCCTGTCTGTCTGCCTGTCTGTCTGCCTGCCTGCTTGGCTGCCTGCCAGCCTGCCTACCTGCCTGCCTACCTGCCTGCCTACCTGCCTGCCTACCATCATGCCTAGCTGAGTGCCTCGTTGGCCGCCTTCGAAGCTCATTTCTTTCAAGAGAAATCTAATTCCCTCTCTGTAGAACGACTTCGATCCTTTTTTATCGTTTTAAGATCGACTCGGTAATTTTCTTTTAGAGTGAGTTACATCCCCAACACTTCGTGGAGCGAGTTGGATTTCCTATCCGCAGAGGGAGATTTAAGGCTATACAAGGGATCGGATCCCCCCCTTGCGGCTGTCCATGCCAATGCCTTTCCCAAAACTGATGCCCACACGCGCCCTGAGCCTCTAAATTGGCGGGAATCTACTGTCATCTGTTCAAGTCGCTCGCTGATCGACATCTCTTTAGTTGGGGATATACGAGAGGGAAGGGGGAAGAGGGTGGAAGAGATGGGGGAATGGAAGGGATGGGGAAGAGAGAAAGAGGGAAGGTTACAGAGGGATGGGGAATGGGAAGAAAGAGAGAGAGAGGAGGGGTGGTGGTTTGAGGGATATGTGTCGAGATATGTGTGGAAGAGGATAGGTTATGGTTCGCGTAAAGGGGGGTTGCTGAAGGACCCCCCTAACAGGGGCCAGGGAAAGGGAGCAGGGAAAGGGAGCAGGGAAAGGGAGCAGGGAAAGGGGGCAGAGAAAGTACTCATATGAACAACACTGGGAAGTGCATACAGGCAATTTAAAAGTGGGAGAGGAGATAAGAGTGAGAGGTGATAGGGGAAGTGAGAGGGGGATAGGAGAGTGAGGGAGAAGAGGAAAACGACAAGGATAAAAGAGGCGACAAGTGGAAATGTTGAAGAGAGAGAGAGAGAGAGAGAGAGAGAGAGAGAGAGAGAGAGAGAGAGAGAGAGAGAGAGAGAGAGAGAGAGAGAGAGAGAGAGAGAGAGAGAGAGAGAGAGAGAGAGAGAGAGAGAGAGAGAGAGAGAGAGAGAGAGAGAGAGAGAGAGAGAGAGAGAGAGAGAGAGAGAGAGAGAGAGAGAGAGAGAGAGAGAGAGAGAGAGAGAGAGAGAGAGAGAGAGAGAGAGAGAGAGAGAGAGAGAGAGAGAGAGAGAGACAGAGAGACAGAGATAATTCAATTAAACGAGGTTTATCAGTGACAGAACACGACCTTCACACGGAGACAAATGAGGTCATTCTGATTCCCAATCTTAAGGTTTTTGTTCGGCTCCAATCTCTGATGATTCAACACGAGGCTTCACTATTCCACTCTCTCCCAATCTCCCAATCTCCTGTCTCGGTGTCAGTCTCCTTGTTGTGGCTTGTTCTGGTTCACGTTCTGTCTGTTTGAGTTATTTCTCAACTAAATCTACCTATAAATGCTGCTTGCTCTGATTGGTTTCCTGTCTGTCTGTCTGTCTGTCTGCGTGTGTTTCTCTGTCTGGCTTTCGTGCAGTATAGAAAAAGAGCACACACACACACACACACACACACACACACACACACACACACACACACACACACACACACACACACACAGTAGGGGCAGTAAGAGAAGGGACCCATCAGGAGAGAGCGCCGAGCCATTACAAATAAATATCACTTAGAAGGAATCAGAATCAGGATTGGGATGGGACGGGGGGGGGGTGGTGGAAAGGAAAAGGAAAGGAAAGGAACTATCAGGAGAAAGCGCCAAGCCATTACGACTATATAGCACTGGGAAAGGGTCAGGATAAGGTTTTAGGATGGGAAGGGGGGGGGGGAAGGAATGGTGCCCAACCACTTGGACAGTCGGGGATTGAACGCCGACCTGCATGAAGCGAGACCGTCGCTCTACCGTCCAGCCCAAGTGGTTGGGCAGGGGGGGGGGGGGGGTGGAAGGAATGGTACCCAACCACTTGGACGGTCAGGAATTGAACGCCGACCTGCAAGAAGCGAGACCGTCGCTCTACCGTCCAGCCCAAGTGGTTGGGCAGGGGGGGGGGTGGAAGGAATGGTACCCAACCACTTGGACGGTCAGGAATTGAACGCCGACCTGCAAGAAGCGAGACCGTCGCTCTACCGTCCAGCCCAAGTGGTTGGACAGTTGGGAAGCAAATTGAAAGAATTATAATGGGAAATAACAGAGGTCCATTCATGCTTTTAAAATATAATATGACAAGAAACAAAGAGTCAGACAGTCATTGTACTGGACGATTTACAGTTGGGAAGACAAGGGGCCCAAGAGCCTAACTACCGTGCTGCCAATTACGCTAAACATGAAAAAATTTAATTCACCCCTAACTGCGTCCTGCTGAAAGCCCTTATAATTTTATATTTTGGGCTCGTCCAGCAAAGTATTTTTAAGTATTTTGCTTTACAAAGTTAGCCGCATCGGTTTCCATCTTCTTTGAGTTACGTTTCACCCTCTGGAAGTTAGGTAAGGTTAGGACATCAGAAATCACAATTGCGTGATGCATCAAATGAACAAATGAGTTCTGGATGTAGAGATATTTGACCCTGTCGTAGCTCAGTCGATTAAGGCAGCGTCTGGGATGCTCTCGGACGTAGGTTCGAATCCTCGTCACGGTCCCTTGCGGATTTGTTCTTAGGATATCAGAACTGGTACTCATCTCATTTAAGATGATTCCGATATACCAGTACTGGCAGCCAACTCATTAAGGTATATCTGGTATATCCAAAACTATCTTGTAATCACTCGGGTGTTTCATAATATTCCAGGACGCTTCCTTAATGCAACACCAACACCATATTGGTGTTTCTGGTGTTCCAGAACTGGTTTCCAACTCACTGAGGTGTTCCAGGTTTTCCAGAACTCCTCTCCAATCCACTAAGGTGTTTCTGGTTTTCCAGGGGACCTCTCCAATCCACTAAGATGTTTTTAGTTTTCCAGGACTCCTCTCCAATCCCCTAAGGTGTTTCTGGTTTTCCAGAACTCCTCTCCAATCCACTAAGGTGTTTCTAGTTTTGCAGGGGACCTCTCCAATCCTCTAAGGTGTTTCTAGTTTTCCAGAACTCCTCTCCAATCCACTAAGGTGTTTCTGGTTTTTCAGGGGACCTCTCCAATCCCCTAAGGTGTTTCTAGTTTTCCAGAACTCCTCTCCAATCCACTAAGGTGTTTCTGGTTTTCCAGGGAACCTCTCCAATCCACTAAGGTGTTTCTAGTTTTCCAGAACTCCTCTCCAATCCACTAAGGCGTTTTTAGTTTTCCAGAACTCCTCTCCAATCCACTAAGATGTTTCTGGTTTTCCAGGGGACCTCTCCAATCCACTAAGGTGTTTCTGGTTTTCCAGGAAACCTCTCCAATCCCCTAAGGTGTTTCTGATTTTCCAGGAGACCTCTCCAATCCACTAAGGTGTTTCAGGTTTTCCAGGGTTGGCCTCCCACTCGCTGAGGTGTTAATCACTCGTGTTATCTGGAGGGAAAAGCTCATTAGCCTGGCCGTTTCCCCAAGCTTACAGCCTCCTTTATTCCTGCTATCATTACGGCCGCTTCATGATAACAATTGTTATCTACGTTTATAATACATTTTGTTTTGTTTCCTTCAGACTTGTGGAGGCGTCGAAAGAATTGTTGCTGGATATATATGTGTAGTTGGAGAACGTCTTTTAGATGTTCAAAGATTGTTGGGATTGAATGTTCACAGTTGTTAATTAGCAAGCGTGAACATTGTTTTTTTTTCTTAATTTTCTTCACAGTTGTTAATTAACGGAAACTGTTGGTTTTCGGTGGAAGAGAGCGTGTTAAACAGGTTATAACACCACCACTTCCAAAATAACCACAACCACTATCACCACAACCACAACCACCACCACTACGACTAGCACCACCACCACTATAAACAACTGGGAGGGCGCCAAGGAACTTGCCAACCGCTGTTCCCTCGCCTTGTGGAATATTTAAGGTACGATGAGTTTCTGCAGATTTCCTTTCTCTTATCTGTAGGGAAAATATGACGTAAGCTTGATTGACGCCCTCAGCAATCAAGCTGAGGGCCCCAGCAACCAAGCTGAGGGCCGCAGCAACCATGCTGACGGCCCCAGCAACCATGCTGAGGGCCCCAGCAACCAAGCTGACGGCCCCAGCAACCATGCTGAGGGCCCCAGCAACCAAGCTGAGGGCCGCAGCAACCATGCTGACGGCCCCAGCAACCATGCTGACGGCCCCAGCAATCAAGCTGACGGCCCCAGCAACCATGCTGAGGGCCCCAGCAATCAAGCTGAGGGCCCCAGCAACCAAGCTGACGGCCCCAGCAACCATGCTGAGGGCCCCAGCAACCATGCTGAGGGCCCCAGCAACCAAGCTGACGGCCCCAGCAACCATGCTGAGGGCCCCAGCAACCAAGCTGAGGGCCCCCAACTCTCAGGTTGATGGAAATTGAATAATTTATAATGTTTAGATAAAGACAGATTATTTAAAACTGACGGTACTCGAACAACGGGACACAGGTGGAACTTAGAACCCAAATGAGCCACACGGATATTAGGATTTTTTTTTTCCTAGCAGTTAATAAATGAAATACACTAGATAGTGATGTGGTGGAGGCTGACTCCAAACACGGTTTCAAACATAGATATGATAGAGCCCAATAGACTCAGGAACCAATACACCAGTTGACTGATAGTTGAAAGGCGGGACCAATTAGCTGAGTACAAGGTACACACAAGGTAAGGTGAGTACCAACAAGCACTTGGTCGAAATCTTCAACCCAACAATTTCCGTTGTCTTCAATAATTACATGCATGACCTACCTTGAGGTTACCTTGAGGTGCTTCCGGGGCTTAGCGTACCCGCGGCCCGGTCGTCGACCAGGCCTCTGGTCGACGGACATATATGACAGCTCATATATTTCTTAGGATAGTCCCAAGGAAGTAACAAGAATACATATATATATATATATATATATATATATATATATATATATATATATATATATATATATATATATATATATATATATATATATATATATATATATATATATAGTATAGTAGTTAAGACATAGCTCAGTGCTGACACAGATTCTTGGGAAATCATTAATGTACGGTAATTCTTAATATTCTCCTCCTTCCCCCTCTTCCCTGAATTAAAAAAAAAGAAAATATACATATTTTATAAAAGATGAAAACGGTCAAGATAGACGCTTGGAAACAGTCAACATCAAATTGACTCAAACGAACCATAGGAGGTGAAAAATGAAATGATATTTTCCTTTTAAGAACATTGGTCAGAGGTCAAAGGTCACCTCACGGTCGGTCGTCTACCTGGACACCTGATTGCACCATTGGTTATTCCAACATAACCCCCTTCCCCCCCCCTTCCCCCTTGCACTCCCATCTCCCTTCCCCTCCATCGCTCTCTCCCTCATTCTACTCCCTCCCTCCCTTCTCTCTCCCTTCCGCTATGTATCCTGACAAAGGAATTTCGAGCGACAGTTTCCACAACCTCTATTTCACAACAATTTTTTTGCGACAGATTGTAACTGACGCACTCTGAGGTGTGAGTCAATGTCTCATGAAAACACAAGTCTGTGAAACAGACAGAAATCACAATTGCGTGATGCATCAAATGAACTAATTAAAACAAGGGCCGTGACGAGGATTCGAACCTGCGTCCGAGAGCAACTTCTTTTGCCGAGAAAACTCAACTCCTTTTACCATGTCGTAGTTCAGTTGATTAAGGCAGCGTCTGAGATGCTCTCGGACGCAGGTTCGAATCCTCGTCACGGCTCTTGTGGATTTGTTCATTTACAAGTCTCTGTAATCTGTTTTTTTTCACAGCAGTTAAAACACTTAATTTAACAGACATTTGGTTCACTTGTTAAACCATTTCACTGATGACATCCACTCGGAAATTTCTCCATTTTATGTATGATAGCCACTCGGAAATATTTCCCTTTTCACTGATGATATCTTCTCGGAATTTCTCCGTTTCATTTATTACAGTTACTTGGAAATTTCACCGTTTCACTGATGAAAAATACTCAGAAATTTTTCAGTTTCACTGATGACAACTTCTCATAAATTTCTCAGTGTTACTTTACACCAACCACACCAACCAAAGTACAATACTGAGTGAGGGGAAAAGCAAGGGGGGGGGGGGACCACAATAATAACAAAATACCAGCCACAACAGAAATGTTGACACGAAGGTACCTACTCGAGGATTAAAAATAGATTTAGAAATAGCCATTCCACAAAATCCAAAGGCCCATTAATAAATTCACAACTGTATGCAAAGCTCACATAAACATCCGAGGTCTATGAATTATGAAAAGACTGAAGAAACAGAACCTAAATACATCACACGAGAGAGAGAGAGAGGGGGGGGGAGACATGATTACGAAGTATAAAATCCCAAGAGGTTTTGACGAAGTCGATAACGAAAAAGCAGTGGGTTCAAAGACGAAAGTAAAAGAGGGGAAATCAAGGACATAAGAAAACGTTTATTTAAATGTTGATTTAACATTTTAACAGAAAAAAGTAACCAAGTGTGTCCACACACACACACACACACACACACACACCCACACATACACACACACACACACACACACACACACACATACACACACACACACCACACACACACACACACACACACACACACACACACACACCACACATACACACACACACACACACACCCACCCACCCACACACACACACACACACCCACCACACCCACACATACACACACACACACCCACACACATACACACACACACACACACACACACACACACACACACACCCACACATACACACACACACCACACACACACACCACACACACACACACACACACCCACCCACCCACACACACACACACACACACACACACACACACCCACACACACACACACACCCACACCCCACCTTCATGTAAACAAATGCAATATCTTACCCTGGCGTGTGTGTGTGTACATGCAGAAACGGAGCAAGGTGCAACACTTTTAAGAACCGGTATGCAAATGAGCGCGCCTAGAATTTTTCCGACTGAAATGGAAATTATTTTTTTCAAACATTTTTGCTTCAAAAAAAGACTTTTTTTTGAGTCTGACTTCTACAGCCTTTCCATTTCCCGTTATTTTCCAAATATTTTCTCTATACTCTAGTTTTTCTTTCAAGTCTTGTTAGCTATGATTTGCTTCTTCCCAAGAAAGACATAAAGAAAAAATATCTAATGAATTATTTTATCATATAATTAGTTGTCTTATCGGTACATATTTCATCTTCAATTAATACAAAATATGTTTTTCTTTGCAGGTTGGTGAGGGAGAGTGTTTGTGTGGCGGCGCCAGCAGCCTGTGAGTTTATGAGGTGAGAGAGAGAGAGAGAGAGAGAGAGAGAGAGAGAGAGAGAGAGAGAGAGAGAGAGAGAGAGAGAGAGAGAGAGAGAGAGAGAGAGAGAGAGAGAGAGAGAGAGAGAGAGAGGGAGGGAGAAAGAGAATGAACCACTAACAGCCGGTGAGAGATGCAGTAGACAGACGACATACAGACGGACAAATGAACAGACAGACAGACAGACAGACAGACAGACAGACAGACAGACAGACAGACAGACAGACAGACAGACAGACAGACAGACAGACAGACAGACAGAAACAATCATCAACATTTTACCGAGTTTTTCACCTGTGGGATTAATCAAGAGTTACCAAGAACTAAAGCAAACAACCACATTAAGGCTTGTGGAGTGATAATCCATTAGTGAATGATTAAAATTCTGACCAAAGCGCAGGTGCCACTGATATCTTAAAAGACATCAGCTCCTATCTGTAAAAAAAAAAATCCTGTTATCCAGTCTGCAAATTTTTTTGCCACTGTGACAGCTTTTTGTGTGTTTCTTTAAAAGTAAGATTTCCGACATGTTAGAAATCCCAGGTCTTGTATGTGGTCTTTTTATATAGTGTAATTTAATGCTGTTTTACATATGGTTTCCGTTTGGATTTTTTTTTCGTTTTTTTTTACCAGAACGCCAGAGCTGGAACTTGTAAATTTGGAACATGTCACTAGGGGGCCATGACGGCTGAGTGGACAGCACTCTGGTTTCGTTGTCTTAAGGTTCCGGGTTCGATCCCCGGCGGAGGCGAAAACAAATGGGCAGAGTTTCTTTCACTCTTGATGCACCTGTTTACCTAGCAGTAAATATGTACCTGGGAGTTAGGCAGTTGCTACGGACTGCTTCCTAGGGGTGTGTAACAAAAATGAGGCCTGGTCGAAAATCGGGCCGCGAGGACGCTAAGCTCCGAAATCATCTCAAGATAAGATATGGAAGATATCATGTTATGTTCGCGATATCATCGAGAGTCCTATCAACATCAGTTTGGAGGTTTCCTGTGTAGTCTTATACAGTGTCGTACCAATACCAAAAAAAATCTTGGTTATCTTCTGCGAAGTATGATTCTGTATTAAAGATTGTGTCTTTCTCTGTCTGACATGAGAATAAGAAAGAGTATTGGAACAAGCTCATTACCCTGGGGAGGGGGAAGTTCCTGTTTTAAACGTTGGATGCCCCGGATGTTATTTTGTTGACTGTTAATCTTTGGGTTCTGTTCGTTAGGAAATTTAAGAGCCATTTTCCTACCTTGTCACATAATACCTTTCGCGCGTATTTTGTGGGCATTTACAAGAATGGCCACAGGAAGATTTCCCGATGTCTGGGTACATTACAGTGGCGTTTTGCTTGTCTTACATGGCATCCAAGGACCATGTTTAACCACTTTGACTGGACGGTAGAGCGACGGTCTCGCTTCATGCAGATCGGTGTTCAATCCCCGACCATCCAAGGGCCATGTTTAACCACTTTGTCTGGACGGTAGAGCGACGGTCTCGCTTCATGCAGATCGGTGTTCAATCCCCGACCATCAAAGGGCCATGTTTAACCACTTTGACTGGACGGTAGAGCGACGGTCTCGCTTCATGCAGATCGGTGTTCAATCCCCGACCATCAAAGGGCCATGTTTAACCACTTTGACTGGACGGTAGAGCGTCGGTCTCGCTTCATGCAGATCGGTGTTCAATCCCCGACCATCAAAGGGCCATGTTATAGTGGTTTAACAACTGTGAGAGGCAGAAACACTCTGTTCTGACCACCCTGTTCTGTATACCAGTTGATTGACAGTTGGGAGGCGGGACCAAAGAGCCAAAGCTCAACCCTCGCAAGCACACAACTAGGTGAATACCCATATTGTCCAGGGTTATGTAAACGCTGTCACTCTGTTATCGTTTATTTTTTTATTGATATCTAATTCTAAAAATCTGGGTCTGGGGGGGGGCGCAAAGTGCATTAGCGAATTTTCAAAGTCCAATTGGTTTAGTTTGACATGTAATATGATATTCCACGAAGACTTCATTTGAGTTGTCGAAC